GGGAGAAGGGGCTTGCAGGATCAGGGAACTCAGTGATTCACGCATGCCAGCATGTGCCCCAGTGCTGTGAGCTATCGTTCGGTCTCTATAAAATTCTTTTCCCTGTCACACCTGTGGATTTTATAGTCTCCGCTATTCTCTGAGATATTAATAAAAGTTCTAGTCCTCCAGGTATGAAGTTACACTAGGCTTATAATGTTCATTTGCATTATTCTTGTCCCAGAGGGAGATGTATTTCCAAATGTTACAGATGATATTAATTCTGTTGCTGTGTCCTGGAAATTTTTTCAATCTGGAGGATTAAGTTCACAGTGATTTTTCTTTTTACAAGAAGGATTTAAATTTAGTTTTTCAAAAGAAAATATATCAAACATTGTTTTATCACATATTCTTAGGTTGATAATTATTTGATAAGTAAATATAATACTTTTATTTAGAAAATACTTTTTTTTATTATTAGTGAAACACCATGAGGTACAGTTGTAGATTTACAAATTTTTGTGCTTGGATTTCGGTCATACCATGATCAAATACCCATCCCTCCACCAGTGCCCATTTTCCACCACCAGGATAATATCCCTCCCCCCCATCCCCCCATCCCCCCCTGCCACTGTGGCAGGGCATTCCCTTTTGTTCTCTCTCTCCTTTTGGGTATTGTGATCAGCAAAAGAGGCATTGAGTGGCAAACATGTTCAGTCCAGTCTACTTTCAACCTGCATCTCCCCTCCTGGGAGGATCCTCCAAACACCCTCCATTTGGTGTTCCCTTTCCCTGAACTGTCCTTTCCCCTAGAATACCCGGCTGGCCTCTAAGCTATGGAGTAATCCTCCTGGTGTTGATCTCAGCTATTCTTGGGTATTAATCTCATGTTTTGTTATTTTATATCCCCCAGATGAATGCAATCTTTCTATGTCTATCCCTCTCTTTCTGACTCATTTCGCTTAGCATGATACTTTCCATATTGTACCACTTGTATGTAAAGTTCATGACTTCATCTTTTCTAAGAGTTACATAGTACTCCATTGTGTAGATGTACCAAAGTTTCTTTAACCAGTCATCTGTTCTTGGGCACTCAGGTCTCTTCCAGTTTCTGGCTACTGTAAAGAGTGCTGCAATGAACAAACAAGTGCAGAAGTCACTTCGGCTACACATTTTTGCCTCTCTGGGATATATTCCCAGGAGTGGTATCGCTGGGTCAAATGGGAGCTCAATTTCTAATTTTTTGAGGAACGTCCATACTGTTTTCCAAAAGGGCTGAACCAGTCGGCATTCCCACCAACAGTGAAGGAGTGTCCCTTTCTCGCCACATCCACGCCAGCAACGGTTGCTTTTGTTCTTTTGAATGTGGGCCAGTCTCTGAGGTGTGAGATGGTATCTCATTGTGATTTTGATCTGCATCTTCCTGATGATTGATGATGTAGAGCATTTTCTCATGTGCTTTTTTTGCCATTCGGATTTCTTCTTTGAAAAAGTTTCTGTTCATTTCATTGCCCCATTTTTTGATGGGGTTGGATGTTTTCTTCTTGTGGAGTTCAACCAGTATTTTGTATATCCTTGATATCAACCCCTTGTCAGATGTGTATTCGGCGAATATTCTTTCCCATTCTGTAGACTGTCTTTGTATTTTGGTCACTGTTTCTTTGGAGGTACAGAAGCTTCTTAGTTTAAGATAGTCCCATTTATCTATCTCTGGTTTCACTTGCTCAGCCAGTGGCGTGTCATCTTTGAAAATAGCATTAGCCTCAATGTCATGGAGGGTTTTGCCAACTTTGTCTTCAATGTACCTTATGGTTTCTGGTCTGATGTTGAGGTCTTTAATCCATTTTGATCTTACCTTTGTACATGGTGTTAGGCAGAATTCTGAGCCCATTTTTTTGCATGTAGCCGTCCAGTGATGCCAGCACAATTTGTTAAAGAGGCTTTCCTTACTCCACTTCACATTTCTTGCACCTTTATCAAAGATTAGATGATCATATGATTGAGGGGAGATGTCAGTGTATTCAACTCTGTTCCATTGGTCTGCAGTTCTGCCTTTGTTCCAGTACCATGCTGTTTTGATTATTACCGCTTTGTAGTAAAGTTTGAAGTTAGGGAGGTTGATTCCTCCCATTTTCTTTTTCCCAAGAATTGCTTTAGCTATTCGTGGGGGTTTATTGTTCCATATAAATTTCAGGAGTGTTTGCTCCATTTCTTTGAAGAATGTCATGGGTATCCTTATAGGAATTGCATTGAATTTGTACAGTGCTTTCGGTAGTATTGCCATTTTGACAATGTTAAGTCTCCCGACCCATGAGCAGGGGATGTCTTTCCATTTCCTCATGTCCTCTTTTATTTCCTGAAGTAGCGTTTTGTAGTTTTCTTTGTACAGGTCCTTTACTTCCTTAGTTAAGCTGATTCCTAGGTACTTGATTTTCTGGGGCACAATTGTGAACGGGATTGATTTTTTCATATAGCTTTCCTCTCTCTCACTGTTTGCGTATAGGAAAGCCATGGACTTTTGGGTATTGATTTTATAACCTGCAACTTTACTATACAAGTCTATTGTTTCTAGGAGTTTTTTGGTGGAGGTTATTGGGTTCTCTAAGTATAGTATCATATCATCTGCGAATAGTAAGAGCTTGATTTCTTCCTTTCCTACCTGAATGCCCTTAATATCTTTTTCTTGCCTAATTGCTATTGCAAGTAATTCCAGTACTATATGGAACAGCAGTGGAGAGAGTGGGCATCCTTGTCTCGTCCCTGATCTTAGAGGGAAGGCTCTCAGTTTTTCCCCATTGAGGATGATGCTTGCTGTCGGCTTGTAGTAGATGGCTTTAACTATGCTGAGGAAAGTTCCCTCTATACCCATTTTGGCTAGGGTTTTCATCATAAAGGGGTGGCAGTATAATTTAAAGCTAACATTATTAGGATATTACGCTACTTGTGCTAGAATATAGATATTAAAATACAGAATGAAAAAACAAGAAAAAATTATATACAAAGATAAATTTGTATTTAACAATGAGTGAAACAAGGACACATTATTCTATAAGTGATGATGGAACAACTAGCTTACAACTTACAAGTAAATCTGATAAATTACAGAGATAGATGAAAATTAAAACCACAAAGCTCAAACTTTCAAAAACCATAATGCTACTCATATAAGACAATCAGATAGGTGTCTAAGGGCTTAAAAAAATTGTATGTGTGTGTGTGTGTGTGGCGGGGAGGGGTCCATACCTGGCAGAACTCAGGGCTCACTCCTGATGAAAATTAGTTTTTAAATTAATTAATTAATTAATTAATTATTTCTTTTTGGGTCACACCTGGCGATGCACAGGGGTTACTCCTGGCTCTCTGCACAGGAATTACCCCTGGCAGTGCTCAGGGGACCATATGGGATGCTGGGAATCGAATCCGAGTCAGCCGCGTGCAAGGCAAACGCCCTACCCGCTGTGTTATTGCTCCAGCCCCAAATTAGTTTTTTTTAGAAGGAAATTTAGTTTACAGTAAATTCGTTTCTGATGGACCAGAAAGAGAAGTCCTCCATTTTTTCAAAGCCTATAATTATCATCTATATAAGTTGCTTTTTGATTCTGATTTCTGTTTTGGGGCAAAAACTGGCAGTTCTCAGGGCTGATAACTGGTTCTATGCTCAGGGACCATATGGGGTGCCAGTATGGCTTTACAGTATGCAAGGCAAGCACCCTACCTGCTGTACTAGCTCTCAAGCTCTTTGTTCTTGTTTTTTTTCTTTTATAAAAAAAAGCTCGAGCGGGCCCAGTAACGTCTCCATTGGAGACTTTGTTGTTACTGTGTCTGGCATATCCAATACTCTCGGTAACTTGCCGGGCTCTCCGAGAGGGGCGGAGGAATCGAACTTACAAGGCTAGCACAGCGGGTGTTGTTACAGTTATTGTTTTGGGATATTTGGGGGGTATACATGGTGGTGTTTGGGGGCCACTCCTGGCTCTGTGCTCAGGGTCACTCCTGGCAGTTCTCAGAGTATCAAATGTGGTGCTGGGGATCAAACCCAGGTCAATTACGTGTAAGACAAATTCCTTAACCCTGTGCTATGTCTCTAGCTCCTGTTATAAATGTATTAGGCACCCCATAGATAGGCAGGAAAGAAATAAAAGTTCCATTATCTTAAGTGAGGAGAAATTCAAAGGCCAAGAAATCAGCTTGGGAGTGGTACCTTGAAGAGGGGAAAGCTTACAAGCGGCCAACATGGCCGACCCGAGTTCGAACTTTTATTTCTTTCCTGCCTATCTATATTTCCCACAGCGGGTAGGGCGCTCGCCTTACAAGCGGCCAACATGGCCGACCCGAGTTCGATTCCTCCGCCCCTCTCGGAAGGTTTATTTTTAGAGATTAGCAAAAATCCAGGCTAAATATAAATTTGAGCTGATAGCTAAACCTCATTTTACTTATTTGTAAAATGAGTGTCATGAGTTAAACTCTCAGCGTTGTTATATTCAATTAAAAAGGCATAAAACCATTTAATAAGGACCTTCACAAGTACTCAATTACTCGAAGTTAATTACTGTGACTGGTAGAATGTCTGCTAGCATGGAAACTGAAACTAAAGAAACGATCAATATATTTCACATTCATGAAGTCATGGTAACTCCTTTAGATATTTCCCACTAGGGGCTGGAGTAATAGCACAGCAGGTAGGGCATTTGCCTTGCATGTGGCCGACCCGAGTTTGATTCCCAGCATCCCCTGAGTACCCTCAGCACTGTCAGGAGAATTCCTGAGTGAAGAGCTAGGAGTAACTCCTGTGCATCACTGGGTGTGACGCAAAAAGAAAAAATAAAAATACCAGATATCCGTGGTAGTGGGAAATGGGCACTGGTGGAGGGATGGGTATTTGATCATTGTATAATTGAAACCCAAGCACAAAATTTGTAAGTCTACAACTGTACCTCATGGTGTCTCACTAATAAAAATTAAAACAAAAATAAATGTTTGGAAAAAAAACCCCAGATATTTCCCACTAAAAATCAACTTACCTCTTAGAGTAGGTATGATCTTAATTTTAAAAGTGTAAGATTCCCCCAAGTCAATATATTTCTGGAGACTGAGAGTTAACGAATCATCAAGTGGCTGCAACCAGTAATTGCACCGTTTTGAATGTATAGACCATTTGCGTCTGTTGAGTAGCCCGAAGTCATATAGGAACCAGGAGTCACTTCGAAAGGTCATATTCCGGGGTACTATTGAAGGCATGGTAGCCAGGGCTAAGGCATTAGTATTATTTACAATTTTTGTGATTAGGAAGCTGCTGTAACCAACGATCACCACTGTCTTCTCTACATCCGTTTTTTGAAATAAAGAAACAACATTGGGATCTAGAACAGAGATATTTGGTAGAAAACAAAACAATTGTTATTCTCTAAGCATACTATTGAATACGCTATTCAATACAAAATACTAAATTATATTAAATGCTACATTACTAAAGAATACACTGAGAATATACTAAAGAATAACTACTTGAACTTCTTCTTTTGGCGTTTTGGGTCACACCCAGTGATGCTCAGAGGTTACTCTTGGCTCTGCATTTAGGAATTACTTCTGGGGGTGCTCAGGGGTCCATATGGGATGCCAATGATCAAACTTGAATCGGCTGCATGCGAAGCAAATGCTCTACCCACTGTATTATTACTTCGGCCCCGCTACTGGAACTTTTACACTCTGGTCTTCAACTGAGAAAACATTACAAAGATCTCAGAGCATAATTTAAATAATTTTATATGAAATACACCACAAAGATACCAATCATAAACCTATACTTAGCCATTATTCTGAAACTTGCTCTGTAAATTTTCCAACTGAAAAAAAAACCAGAAAGGGCTAAATAAAGATAAGAAAGTTGATTTTGTCAGCTGATGGATGCTAAGAACTTTAATAATTTAGAATTTTTATTGACGTTCTATGAGGGAGGGCTAACTTGGCTAGGGTTTGCCTGCGTTAGAGTCAGCTTATTCTATAGAAAATAGTTAATATATTTGTTGAGTGGGTGAATAATTGATTGCTTAAGAAAGCATGAAGATGGAAAACAAAGAGATTTGAGGACAGAGCCATAAGGAACAGAGTTATGTAAGGAAAAGAAAAGGGAAAAGATTCAAGCAAAGAGAAAAATACAAAATCAGAGAGAAGCCACTGAGAGGATAAGAAGGACGCCAGAGGTCATCAGGGACAATATTTCTGATAGATTTAGAAACAGATCAACACAACCACTCACCTTACTGGAATGTACAGAGATGGAGTCAGAAGAGAATCTCACAATTGCCTTTATTAGGCACAGAGGCTCCAATTTCTCCCACTTTTGAACAAATCAGCACAATTCTTTTTCCCTTCCTCCAACCTAATTACTCTTCTAAACTTCATAGAGAAATTCTCTAATAGAGTTGACTTGCTGTCTTCAATTCTTCTCTAATTATTTCTTTTTTTTCCCCTTTATTTTATTTTATTTTTTTTTAAGTTGTAGATTTACAATTTTTTGTGCTTTGGTTTCAATTATACAATGATCAGATACCCATCCCTCCACCAGTGCCCACCCTCCACCACCACGGATAATATCCCTCCCACCCCCATCCCCCCATCCCCCCTGTCTCTGTGGCAGGGCAATCCCCTGTGTTCTCTCTCTCCTTTTGGGTGTTGTGGTCTGCAAAAGAGGCATTGAGTGGCAAACATGTTCAGTCCATAGTCTACTTTCGACATGCATCTCCCCTCCTGGGAGGATCCTCCAAACTCTAATTATTTCTTACTAATCGTTAACCTAATCCGAATTTTGTTGAAGTGATTAATAGGTTAATCATCACCTAAGCCTAATCTAGATCTTTGTCGAAACTTTCTGCACAGCTTCGTGGCCACTTCCTTTCTGTAGTACCCTCACCTCGCAAAAAGGAAAACACGTGATCATGGTACCTCCCCTGCCAGGTATGTACAAAATTTGTAAATCTACAACTGTGCCTCATGGTGTTTCACTAATAAAAACTTTAAAAAAAAAAAAAAAAGGAAAACGCTCTCTCCACCTTAACTCTGAGATCGATACTAAGATCTTCTCTGAGAACACCATCAGGCTGATTTTGATTTTTTTCCAATCTCTCCTACCACTAAATGCTGGGATGAGACTTTAGTCCATTTCCTTTCCAATTCATTTCTATTCATTTTCCAGCGCATCTCATCTGGTTTCGTAACATGATCATACATTAAGCCATTTTTTTCTGCGTTTTTGTTTTGTTTTGGGGCCATATTCAGCTGTGCTTTGGGATTACTCCTGATTCTATCCTCAGAAATCATTCCTTGTGGTGCTTGGAGGGCCCTATGTGGTGCTGTGACTTGAACCTGGGTTGGTCACATGCTAGGTGAGCACCTTACCTGTGGTACTATCTCTTTGGCTCCATCACTCAAATTTTTTTCTTTTGCAATATAATGGACATCATGTTAGTTTTAGATATAAACATAAGGATTAGCTATTTGTGGGTATTGTGATTACCACTATCAGTTTAGTCAATGTTCATGTTAAATCTTTTTTCTTGTGATGAGAACTGTTGAGATTTCTTAGCACTTTGAAATACATAATGCAGATTTTTTTTTTTTTTGCTTTTTGGGTCACACCCGGCGATGCACAGGAGTTGCTCCTGGTTCATGCACTCAGGAATTACTCCTGGCGGTGCTCAGGGGACCATATGGGATGCTGGGAATTGAACCTAGGTCGGCTGCGTGCAAGACAAACGCCTTACCCGCTGTGCTATTGCTCCAGCCCCACATAATGCAGATTTATTGAAGAGTAAATAATGAATGGCAAAGTGAATGGCAGTACTGTTTAATGTAGCCACCATGCTGCGCAACACTGCCTGTAACATTGGTTTGCTAGAATCAAATGCAGCTATGCGGATCACCACAACCTATTATAACTCTTAATAACCTTCTCTGGCACTCACCATTTGACCCTGCAACTCTTTATTTTCTTTGTTGTTTATTTTTCATGTTTCATATATTTGTTTTTCATGTTTTTCATAGGAGTGAGGTCGCAGGATATTTGTCTTTCTTAGTCTGTATTATTTCACTTAGCATAATACCCTTAAGTTCCATTCAAGCTACTGCAAATGATAAGACTTCCTTCCCTTTTTTTTGGGGGGGGGGTGATGGTGCTTACTTACCTCTGGCTCTGTGCTCAAGGATCACTCCTGGTAGGCTCAGGGGACTATGTGGGGTGCCAGGGATCAAACCTGGATTGGCCATGTGCAAAGTAAGAGACCTACCCACTGTGTATCACTCTGGCTCCAGAATTACTTTTTAAAAATAGCTAAATAATGGTCAAAGTAGGAGCTAATCAATCTTAGAGAGAAATTTTTCTTTTTATAGACCTATAGAAGGTCTTAATGGCCCCTGGGTAAAATACAACAACCTTCACACTCTTTCCTTTAAGGATTCTTTTTTGTATTGTTTTCAGCAGTATTTCATAACAAACAATGCAAAATATATTATTTCAGTTCTGCTTTGGGGCAGGGATTGTGGTTTGGGATGGAAACATCTGAAATACGGTACTGGGGTGGAATAATGGTGGTGGGATTGGTGTTTTAATGTTAAATGTAATCAAATATGGTGAACTACTTTATTAAATAAAAAATGGGGCATTTAAATTTTCTCTGTTTAAATACACAGATACACAGTTGCTGAACCATTTAGTGATTCTATTTTCAATATTTTTGAGAAATCAACATCATTTTTTACAGTGGCCTTGTTACCGAGAATGTTGGGGGAGGGTTAAGATAATCAACACCTCTACCGAGTACTTTATTTATGTTTGCTATCCAACTGGTAGTTGTACAAAGAGTTATTTTGCATAGGGCATATATGACCTGATTCATCAGCTCCACAAATCCTCATTTAAATAAGATGCAGTGGGAAGATCCTCCCAGGATGAGAGAAGCATGCTGAAAGTAGACTATAGACCAAACATGATTGTCACCCATTGCCTCTTTTGCAAACCACAACACCCACTAAGAGAGAGAGAACAAAAGGCAGTGCCCTGCCACAGAGGCAGGGTGGGATGGGGGGATGGGGGGTGGGAGGGATACTGGGATCCGTGGTGGTGGGAAATGGACACTGGTGGAGGGATGGGTATTTGATCATTGTATAACTGAAACCCAAGCACAAAAATTTTTAAGTCTGTAACTGTACCTCATGGTGTTTCACTAATAAAAATAAAAAATAAATAAATAAAATAAAAGTACATCTTGAGAAAAAAAATAAATAAGGTGCAGTTAGTCTGCGAGCAAGGAGAGAATGCATAACCCAAGGAAGTGGAGGTCTTAAGGTTTTGGGGCTTCTTCACTGTATTTCAGAAGTGAGCGGTGGAGAAAGTGTTTCTAGAAAGAGTAGGGGTTGCTGCCACTGTTGCTGCTTTGCAAGAATTACTCTTACACAGGGGACCATCTCCGATTCAATGAAGTTATTGTTTTTTTTTTTTTTTTGCTTTTTGGGTCACACCCGGCGATGCACAGGGGTCACTCCTGGCTCTGCACTCAGGAGTTACTCCTGGCGGTGCTCAGGGGACCATATGGGATGCTGGGAATCGAACCTGGGTTAGCTGCATACAAGGCAAACGTCCTACCCGCTGTGCTATCTCTCCAGCTCCCTGAAGTCACTGCTTTTTTAAAAAAAACTTATTAGAGGTAAAGAATTTTTCCAGGAAAATAAATCTGTGTTTTTCTTATGCAGATCACTAATGGACTTAATTTTGAAATATACAGTTATATAAATGTACATTAACAATCTTCCAAGAGGACACTATTAATTTTTCTAGGTACTAGAGATGTATTATAATATTACACTTACCTTGTGATGTAAGAGTAAGCACATAGAAGGGATAATTAGTTGGCGTAATGGAAAGGGAACTATATAAACAAGAACTCTCATCTTCTTTTTCTACTCCAAAAGGTTCTATAATTTCTGCAATAACTGAAGACAAAAATCCGGCAGGAGTGTCATGATAAAGTATCTTTTTTATGTAAGCACTTCCAATTTTGCTAAAAACCAAACCAATAAAACATCAAGTAAAATTTGGTAAAACAGTGATAACACAGCAACTTTGTGAGCAAATAATTTACAAGTACAACACCTAACAAATAAGCATCTAATTAATGTTTATTCATCTTTGTTTTTAATGAACAAAATGCCAATTATGGAAATGGGATAGAATTTTTCACCTAACATATTTACAAGAGGGTTCAAAGAGGCAAGAATTGACCAGGGGCCCAACTCCACAACTAACTTTTTTTTTTAACCACTTCATTTAGAAGAAGGACACATCCTCCCTCTTCAGATCATGGCAATTTTACTCTATCCCACAAGCATAGCACTGAAATATATCAGTAGGTGATTCGCAACTAATCTTGAAAAGAACACTAAGCTGACAAATATATCCTAGGTAGTCTGGTCTGGGATGAGAACTCTGACACCTTTTCAGAATGGGGGCAAATCCCCCCCTACCTCTGCCACCTGTAGGACCAGCAAGCCCTGCCCAGACCCGATGTTTTCTAGTATAGAAATGGTCAAACTCCACAACTGAAACTTATTAAGCTGCCAAGCCACCAAAATGTTCCAGCTCTGGAACTACTGGCCACATATGCAGCCACACAGCACCTCCATCCTTCACAGTACTGATAGCTCAGTCAGCACACACAGCAAATTTATTGTTAAAGATGTGTAGAAGACCACCAAGCTCAGTGAGCCTAAACAATAATCCAGAAGGCACAACTAGCAACAACCAGCCCAGGAAATCCTCAGACAATGACTTGAGGAACAACACCACTGTGAGACACAAGAATGATCACAAAAATTCACTGATCTATTTTCTGATAATTCCTTGTAATAGCAATATAAAGTGAAATATTTTGTACCTGCTAAGGAAACAGACTTGTGGGGTGGATGGGAAATGCCAGTGAGTGGAACCAAAATAACAGTGCAGCCAAATGTGTTGACACCACCGCTAATGTGTGTGACCTCAGAGAGCCAGCACCTGTGTGACCTCAGAGAGCCAGCATGCATGTGCCATCCCATACATGACCTCTATGACAAAGGGAATTAGTAATATAAAAATCATTTTTTAGTATATGTTGTAGCAAGCAATAAAAAGTAAACAATTCTTTGCCTGCTAAAAGGGCAGACTTGGGGATGGTGGAAAACTGGGGACAGAAGTGGAAATAAGATCACACTGATGGTGGGACTGGTGTTGGAACACTGAATGCCTGAAACAGCTGTATTATGAGCAACTTTGTAACAGGCTGTTTAAATCAGGTAAAAAAGAAAATAACTGACCAGGCTAGATGCTCACTTACTACCAATGCCATTGTTAATTAGCATAAGCACTTTAGAAAGCAATTTGGTGTTATGCATTAAGCGCTCTAACCTTTTCTTCCTATTCTGACCGTAAGTCAAAGATTGGACTCTACTCCAAGGAAACAATTTGAGACAGTGTACATAAGCAAAGCTTACACAGAGAGATGTTTACCATAATACTATGATAAATGTTAGAAATAGAATGTGCCGGCAATAGGGATATTAAAGGAAGAGGTCATAGTTGATCTACTTGAACAATCCATAAAACGGCAATTAAGAAGAATTTAATTGCAACAGGAAAGGGCTCCTACAATGGACACACAAAAGCAGCATGGGGAAAAAGGTTGAACGCATATTAAAAAGAACTCATAGTTTGCAAAAGAGGTAATGGGGGGATGGGGGGTGGGAGGGATACTGGGATCCGTGGTGCTGGGAAATGGGCACTGGTGGAGGGATGGGTATTTGATCATTGTATAATTGAAACCCAAGCACAAAAATGTGTAAGTCTGCAACTGTACCTCATGATGTCTCACTATTAAAAATTAAAAAAAAAAAGAACTCATGCAATTCCACCACTGCAGCCATGCTAACTCATCTACTGGCCCATCTTCAGAGACTCGTGATTAAATCTCAAAATATATCAACTAGTCACAAACATTTCTCAGACACACTGCTCCTGGGCCGAACACTTCATAGTGGGCTGAACTCGGTAGGTGGGTGGGCTGCATCCCCTCTCTGCACTCACACCCCACAGTTGCTAAGTCCCGACTCCACTGTCTCATGAGTGATCTGCACAGAGATGCCAAACCGTTGGACATTTCAGGTGACAGTCTTTGGGGCTGAAAACGCTGGGCCTTCTTGGAGTCAGGATGGGTGACCTCTCCCCACAGCTCCTCATACTTCCCAAAGCCCTGGCAGCCACATCCACATTCCCCAAGAATGAGAGAATGAAGAATGAAGTCACACTGAAGATATTTGTGGTGTGTGTGTATGTGTGTGAGGGTTGGACCCACATCGGACAGTGCTCTGGGGGCTACTCCTGGCTCTGTGCTCAGGAAAACAATTGGTGGCAGCGAGGGTTGAAATGGGGTTGGCGGTATCTAAGGTTTGCCTTCACCCCTGCCCTATCTCACCAGCCCTAACTGATGGTGTTTAACAACTTGCTTTTTCCCCAACTACCTAAACATTGCTTCCAGTCATCACACTGGGCTCCTATGCCTGCATGGCTGAAGTCCCCTTGGCCCCATTTCCCCCTTGCCTGCCTCTTTGCCCCTCCCCCTGCTGTGAACCCCGGCACCCCATTCCCAAGCTTTAGGACAAAAAGCTTTCCATGATCTTTGGAACACGCTGTTCTGATTTTCAAGTGTTCTCCACCTTCAAAGAATTGTCCTCTGCTTTAAAAAGAGCCAGGACATTAAAAACTAAATATTAACATGGAACTTTAAAAAAGGTGAGTTCAGAGAGATAGTACAGTGGGTAAGGCACTTGCCTTGCATGTGGCTGACCCGGGTTCAATACCCAGCCTCCTATATTATCCCCCCAAGCCCTGACAGAACTGATTCCTGAGTGCAAAGTCAGGAGTAACTTCTGAGTAATCACCAGGTGTGGCCCCAAAACTGAAAAAAAAATAATTTAATTAACAAAAAATTAACATGGACATTAAAAAGAAGACAGAAAGTTCTATAGCTGGACAAATGCTTAAGGGAAAAAAAGGCTTACTGCTGCACGCACGCACATTCAAAAAATTTTAATTAACAACACCCATACGTGGACATTAAAAACAGAAAGTTCTACAATCTTTGCAGACAACACCACTGCCAGCGCTTTTATACCTCTGGTGCCAGTCTTCAGCAAGCCCACAGAGAGCTGTCCAATGGTGCGCGGAACTGTTGGTTGTAAGTCAAGATATATATTGAGTGTTGGAGAATTAGTATAGGGTTTAGGGACTTTGCCTTGTCTGTCAATCAGGAGCAAGGCTGCACGACTGTGTGTGACCCTCAAACCAAACTCAAACAAGAAACCATTGTGTTGTATGGGGCCAAGGACGTGCCTCAGTGATAGAGTATATGTCTTCTTGGGTGTAGGGCTCTGAGTTTGATACCTGCTACCCCCTTCCAACTCCCCCCAAAAGAGAGCTATGTATTGATAGCTAGTACATGTCTGACATAGAGTTAGTTCAGCTGGGTATGATATCTGGAACAGGAGGAGATTCTGACAACCTGCAATGGTTCCTTCTCTAGCTACAGGTGGGGCCGGAAGTACACAGGGTCCTGCCAACTTGGCCCCGTGGCAGGCCTCTGTTTCATCTGCGGTGCTTGCAGGCCACGTAGGCATGGCCACGGGCAGGAGCATGGTGGGTAGGCAGCATGCTGCAGTGGTGAAGCTGTGTCTGAGAGCCCGGGGTTATGGGCTGGGTGTTTCTCAGAGTGGGGAGGGGATTAGGCCAGATATCTGGGCACTCAGGTGCTTGGTCATGGGACACACCCCCTGCAGAGAACTTGGGCTTCCTGACCTCAAAGTTGACCCTGAGTAAGGCTCAGCCTCTTGACCCAAGCAACCCAGGTATAAGTTCAGTGACCAGCAGGAAAATCAGCAAGTACCTGTAGCTGATAACTTTGCCTTTGTGAATGCCAGAGAACTTCCTTTTGTGTACGTTCCACAGGGACTCATTCAGGGGCACATAGGCAAAGAAGATGATCTCACGGAAGGTCAGGAGCTGTGGGGCGAGTGCTGTATGGAAGCTCTGATCGGGATTCTGGCAAAAGGAAGATGAGAAGAGCATGTTGAAACTGTCTTTCCTTTCAGAGACATGGACAGCAGCTCTGTTTTCTGTGGCTCATGGTAAGCATCCCGGAGGGTGGTGGGGAGAGGGTTAGTGTGTGTTTTGTCTGTGTGGTACAGTGGGAATAAAGACTTGAATGTCTTCGTGTGTGTGTGTGTGTGTGTGTGTATGTGTCTGTGCGTGTCTGTGTGTCCATGCATCTGTTGGGACCGAGTTCAGGGCTTGCTCCTTATTTGGAGGGTTGTGTGTGTGTGTGTGTGTGTGTGTGTGTGTGTGTGTGTGTGTGTGTATGTGGCTACACCCAGCGATGCTCAGAGGTGACTCCTGGCCCTGAACTCAGGGATCACTCCTGGCAGGAAAATAAGAGGCAGGTGTGCAAGAGATGTTGGAAGGAGAAGCCCAGTGAAATCGTGACCCTCTGAATCGGCGCTCCTCAGCCTTCTTCCACCTGCCCGGAGCAGGGCCCAGGACTTTTAATGAGCCCAGTTCTAACACAGGTAGGAGACAGTGGTTCTCAACCTTTCTATACCTGCTGCATGGACCAGCGGTGATGACCACTGCTAGAAGTTGTTCTCTGCTCCCAATAAAATGCCCTCTGCTTGCCCTCACCTTTGTTGCTGAGCACAGGAGCCCGGGAAAACATGCCAATGTTAATGTTAGGACTCTGGGAACGGCAAGGCAGCCCCTACTGAGCATTCTGCCTGTGACTGGAGCTGGGGAGCGGTGTGTGTGTTTGTGTGTATGTCTGTGTGATTCTGTGTGAGTGTGTGTGTCTGTGTGTGTCTATGTGTTTGTGTGTGTGTCTGTGTGTGTATGTCTGTGTGTGTCTGTGTGTATCTGTGTGTGTCTGTGTGTGTCTGTGTGTATCTGTGTGTCTCTGTGTGTGTTTTTGTGTGTGTATGTGTCTCTGTGTGTGTCTCTGTGTGTGTATGTGTCTCTGTGTGTGTTTCAGTGTGTGTGTCCTGTGTTTGTGTGTATGTCTGTGTGTGTTCGTATATGTATATATGTGTGTGTCTGCGTGTGTGCTGTGTGTCTCTGTGTGTGTCCGTGTGTATATCTGTGTGTGTCTGTGTGTGTTTGTATGTGTATATCTGTGTGTGCTGTGTGTCTCTCTGTGTGTGTCTGTGTATGAGTCTGTGACTATGTGTCTGTGTATGTGTCTGTGTGTGTGTCTGTGTGTGTGTCTGTGTGTGTGTCTGTGTGTGTCTGTGTGTATCTCTGTGTGTGTCTCAGTGTGTTCTGTGTGTCTGTGTGTCTGTGTGTCTCTGTGTGTATCTGTGTCTCTGTGTGTGTCTCTATGTGTGTGTGTGTGTGTGTATGTGTGTGTGTGGAAGGGGCAGCCTGCGGAAGCACTGGTGCCTGCAACGGTGTGGGAACGTAGGCAAGTTACCAGGTCCCCCCACATCTGCCCGAAAGGGAAAAGGGTCTGTGTCTATAGGGCTCCTGCCCAAGCCTGCACCACAGACCCAGAGAAAGGTCTGTGCTTGCTTTCTCCTTCAGCAGATACCCCTGTTGCTGATTTTGGTGGTGGTGGGGAGCTGGGGGAATGAAGCTGAGTTGAGAGTGCCTTGGACTTGGGACCAGAATGATAGTACACCAGGTAGGGTTTTTGCCTTGCATGCTGCCAACCCAGGTTCGATCTCCGGCATCTTGTATGGTTCCCCCAAGCATCTCCAGGAGTAATTCCTGATGAGTGCAGAGCCAGGAGGAACCCTTGAGTATCACTGAGTGTGACCCCAAAAGCCAAAAAAAAAAAAAAGAAAAGAAAAAAGAGTGTCTTGGACAAATTCTGAGTACAAAAACCTCTTTCTGCCTTTGACTTGAATCGTTTATTTTTTTAAGTTAATTTTATTGAATTGAATCACTGTGAGATACAGCTACAAAGCTTTCATGGTTGGGTCTCAGTCATACAATGTTCCAACACCCACCCCTCCACTCGTGTACATTTCCCACCACCAATGTCCCCTCGATCCCTCCTGTCCCTCTCCCACCCCTCGCCTGTCTCTATGGCAGGCACTTGGACTTGAATCATTTTTTTTTCTTTTTGGGTCACACCTAGTGATGCACAGGGGTTACTCCTGGCTCTGCACTCAGGAAATACTCCTGGCGGTGCTGGGGGACCGGTGGGGGGGGCGGTGGGACTATATGGGATGCTGGGAATCGAATCCAGGTTGGACATATGCAAGGCAAATGGTGCTGTGCGATTGCTCCAGCCCCAGACTTGAATCACTTAAAAGTTCACTTAAGAAAGGGGGCAGAGCAGCACTGCAGAGGGTAGGGCACTTGCCTTGCACAAGGCTCACTCTGGTTCAATTGGGTTCAATCCCTGTGGCATTGTGTATGGTCCTCTGAGCTCTTCTAGGAGAAGAGCTCAGAGGACCCAAATGCAGACCCAGGAGTGACCCTTGAGTAGAGCTGGGTGTGGGTGTGACCCCAACCCCCTCCCACCCCCCACCTCCCAAAAAAGAAAAGAATAATCAACCAAAAAACTAAAGCTAAGATTTTTCTTTCCAATGTATGAAGCAATGTAGCACTGTCCTGTGCTGTCCTCCCTTTGTGCATTGATTTGCTCCAGTGGGCACCGGTAACGTCTCCACTGTGAAACTTGTTGTTACTGTTTTTCACATATTAAATACACCATGGGGAGCTTGCCAGGCTCTGCTGTGCGAGCGGGATACTCTCGGTAGCTTGCCAGGCTCTCTGAGAGGGGCGGAGGAATTGAACCCGGGCCAGCCGCGTGCAAGGCAAACGCCCTACCCGCTGTGATATTGCTCTGGCAATGTAGGAAACTTCTGAAAAACTGAGTTCCCCAATGATTTGGTTGCTCCACACTGCAGCTCGGTTCCCTGAGTCTATACCAGCATCCAATGGTCCATGGACCTGGCCAGCCCAGTAACACACCTCACACAGGTGAACAGAAACACAGCACTGCACGGTTGGCCTAGAGAGCAGAGCAGAACATCAGGATCCAGCTTCAGTTCCCTTCCCTACAGGCTGAGGGCTCTGCATTAAGCCCTACCTAGAAAAACTGACCTGAGTCTTTGCTGGTGTACTGGCGGGAATTGTTGGTTTGTTTATGTTTGGGCTATACTTGTCTGTACTCGGGCATCACTCGTGGTGGGGATCAGCAGACCATATGGGTGCCAGGGATTGAATCTGGGTCAGCCACATGCAAAGCAAGCGTCTGACCCTATCAGATATCTCTGGTCCCAGCACTTTGATTTTTGTCCTAAGGAAAATACCTTCCCACCCCTACATTATTCTGTATCTGCGAGGTCTAACAAGGCGAACTGCTTCAGCGTGTTCCATACTGACCTGCTTAAAAACATTATCAACATTGGAGTCAATGCCTTCCAACACATTCGGAGTCAATTTGTGTAAGAACCCCATGTGATCGTAATACAATGCAAAAGCTTTTTCACGAACAATTCCAAATTTCTCATATATGCTTAATCCTATAGGGAAGAGACAGAAGAATTTGGAGATTGAGACCAACCCATGGCAACATCCCCCACTGTACCTTGCACACCTTCTCCCTAGAGACTCAGGTGGAGCGTGGCTCAAACACCTCTTTTTATTTTTATTTTTTGGCTTTTTTGGACACACCTGGCTCTGCACTCAAGAATTATTGCTGGCAGTGCTCTGGGAACTGTATGGGATGCTGGGGGTTGAACCTGAGGGTCAGCGATGTGCAAGGAAAGTGCCCTACCTGCTGTACTATTGTTCCGTTGCTCTAGCCCTGTGTGGCTTAAGATTTCTTACTCAGTGACTATATGACATTTGTGAGTCCCATCCCAGCACCTATTCTTGGCTCTCCATTTCTATTATCATGACCATTTGGTTGGAGAAGTGAACCTGAGGGATACTTAATGAAGCACTCAAGGGGGAAAGAGTTAGTGGCCTGACCCCTATCTTGCCCTCTAGAACTGTGTTTGGGGGGAGTTGGGGGTGTCCCAAAATTCAATTCTGAGGCTTCCCCTTACATATTCTCTCTCTCTCTCTCTCTCTCTCTCTTCCAGTGTTAGTCTTTCCTCTCTCTCCCCTTTCCTCTCTCTTCCTCTCTTCTTTCTCCTCCAAAGTGATGCTAAGGTGGTCCAGAAGCCCCACTGGCAATTCTAGGCCAACCAGGTGGGTTGGACCATTCCATGGAAGGGACCAAGGATGAGGCGCTGCTCGCCCAGGCCCTGCGGTGCAGGGAAAGACCTGGGTGATGACACCATGGTGATTCTGGGAATGACCAGGATCCTTACCCTCCCCCATGTGATGTTCCATTCTCAGGGGACCATGTGTGCTGGGAATCAAACCCGGGAACATGCCTAGCACTCGACTATATCAGCGCTTTAGAGTTTTAAGTCCCTCTGGAATGGACAAGTGCAAATATGGCTCATTCTCTCCCATAATTCCAGCGTTCCACACTGATAAACCTCCCAGGAGGTCCGGATGCAGCCAGTCAGCATCTCCAGTCCCAGTCACGGCCACACACACGTCCCTTGCATCCTCAGCCCCCCTCCTCGTCATCCAGGACACCTGCATGACGCACCTGTGCCCCAGACCCTGGTGTCCTTCTGAGTCCCTCAGGAAAAGAGACCCCTGCCCACGTTTCAGGTGGGCTAACCCCAGAGAGCAGGAGCTATGTGGGGGCAGCTGAGTCTGGGGGCCATAGTGTAAGCATGGAGGGCATTAGGGTGTCTAGGAGGTGGTTGGAATCTCGCTCTTGAATCATGATAACCTGGGGACATCCTCCAAATATGCTCATGTCCTTGAGGGGGTCCAGACCCTGCTCTGCAAAATAACATGCTTGGAAATTTCTGCTTCTGTGCTCTCCTGCCAGCGGCCTGTCAGGGCCCCAACCCTCCGTCAGGTGTGCTATAAAATCAAGCTCCTGCCTTTATTTAAGGCCCAGGCTTTGGGACATGAACTCATCTGGGTCTGCTGCTATAATTAAAACAGCGTTTCCCTCTTCTTAAGATGTGCTGCTTGGGTAGTGGATGACTTTTGGTGAGAATTTCCCCAAATGCTTTACTCTAGTTTTATTTTGTTTATTTATTTTTCATTTTATAAAGTAGTTCACAATATTTGATTACTTTTAATATTCAAACACCAACCCCACCACCATGACACCTTTCCACCACCATGTTTTGTATGTTTCCATCTCGAACCCCAACTTCTGCCCCAAAGAAGAACTGAAATAATTTATTTTGTATCGTTTGCCAAACACAGTAACAACAAGTCTCATGATGGAGACCGTTACTGGGCCCGCTAGAGCAAACCAATGAACAACGGGAGGACAGTGACCGTGTTATGAAAAACCGCCGAAAATGCTACAAAAATGTTTCCTTAGAGGAAAGAATATGAATATTATTGTATTTCACTGAGGGGCATTAAGCTCTTCTATAAGAGATCACTAACATATTGTTAAAGGCTGAGCCTGGGACTGGAGAGATAGCACAGCGGGTAGGGCGTTTGCCTTGCATATGGCTGACCCAGGTTCGATTCCCAGCATCCCATATGGTCCCCTGAGCACCGCCAGGAGTAACTCCTGAGGGCAGAGCCAGGAGTAACCCCTGAACATCGCCGGGTGTGACCCAAAAAGCAAAAAAAAAAAAAGGCTGAGCCTGTGATATATATATATATATATATATATATATATATATATATATATATGTTAAAAATATTTCCCCGTAAGGCTGGTTGCCTCTTTCTTTGAACCCCATCAAATGAGGTGCAGTACTCTTGGAGTCTGAGTGTGGTATGAAGTGTTACATTTGCGGCCGCGCAGTCCAGGAATAGGTTCACTTGTGGGTGAGGCTCGGCCTGAGTGTGCAGAGAGCAGCCATGAGCATGGTGGTGGTTGAGTTCTGGAGGTTTTCGGCTGCCAAGGGATGGGGAGGGTGTCTCACCCGCCCCACTCTGGGGTGCCCTAAATGGAACAGCCTGGCATGGTTATGGCAAGCGTTCCTTCGGGAGAGAAGGACATGCGACTCTCTCACTCTAGTTTTAATCCACCAGCAACCCCCATTGACTGTAGCCTCAAAGTATATCGAAAGAATTCAATGATGACGCATCCCCTCCAACACAATCAGCCTATTCCTGCTCCTATGCTCCAAGTAGCTGGAAGAAGAGATTCGTACACAGGATTGACTCCTGCAGGCAGTAATGGAGGCCACGAGGTCCGAGATCTAGCATGTAGGAAGAGAACCAAGGGTGACTGGGGAGCTAGGGGCCCACCCATGTCATGCCAAGTCCAAGAGAAGGCAAAGAAAACTATTCAGGCAGGAAGAAAGACAGAAAAGGGAGCAGATTTATTTTATCTGCCTTTTGTTTGACTTTAATACTCAGCAGGATGTTGGCTGTCCACATTGGGGAGGGAAGTGTATTGAGTCCATTGAACCAGATGGTGAGCTCACCCACAAACATTCTCTAAAATGCTCAGAAATCATGTTTAATCACAGTATACCTCCTGACTCTATCAAGTAGACCCTTAAGATTAACCAATTCAACTGTACCTAGCTGAGACACTCCGGGAACTCTTGGAGGGGGACAGGCTGGGATCCCCCAAACAAAGCCCCTGCAGCCACTCACTTTTTTTCCCTTTCTGTGTCACACCTGGCAATGCTCAGGGGTTACTCCTGGCTTTGCACTCAGGAATCACTCCTGGCGGTGCTCAGGGGAACCATATGGGATGTTGGCAACTAACGCCCAATCTGCCTATTGTCTGTCATCTACAAACTGTTCACTCGAGTCATCCTGAATAGGATTAGCAGAACACTAGATGAAGGACAACCATATATATATATATATATATATATATATCATATATATGTTAAAAATATATTTCCCTCTAAGGCTGGTTGCCTCTTACTTTGAACCCCATCAAATGAGGTGCAGTACTCTTGGAGTCTGAGTGTGGTATGAAGTGTTACATTTGTGGCCGCGCAGTCCAGGAATAGGTTCACTTGTGGGTGAGGCTCAGCCTGAGTGTGCAGAGAGTAGCCATAAGCATGGTGGTGGTTGAGTTCGTTGGCCTTGTGCAAGGCAAACGTCCTACCCAATGTGCTATTGCTCCAGCCCCCCCACTCACTTTCATACCCTAAAGCTACCCCTCTGACCGGACTCCATCGCCTCAGGACGACTGAGCCTCCCAGTGAAATGGACTCTGCTCCAGACTCAGGTCCACAGGCCCTTTTTACTGAAAGCTTTGGGCCTTCTGGGGATAGGGGTGGGCTACCTCCCTCCACTTCCCTGTACTTCTAGAGCCCTGGAAGTCATGCCCACGAGCCACCTCCACCACCATGGAAGCTCATCAGTAAAAAATTCCAGTGGGACTGACCAGTTAGAAACCCTAGACTTCCTGGGGCTCGAGGCCCAAATTCTACAACACTGGCAATCCAGCACATCCTGGTGGATTGGACGAGATGGAATGTAGAAGCCGACCAACCTCAACGAACAAAAACATTAACACAAACGCTTAACTGGTAACAACATTTTAGTAATTCCTCAGACAAGGACTTAATATCAGCATAGTGAGATGCAACAGTTATCACTAATCTTCTTCTAAAGAAATACTTTTTGATCATTTTGTTAGCCATTGTATTGTTTGTTATGAAAAATTGCTAAAAATGCTACGATGGTTTTAGCCATTTATGGGTAACAAGTGATATAAAGTAAATTATTATGGGCCTACCAATGGGGCAGGCTTGGCGAGTGGTTGGGAAAATGGGAACAATGGTGGAGAGAAGGTGACAGTGGTGGTGGGATTGGGGTTGGAATATTGAATGCTTGTGACAAATTATCATGAACAACTTGGTATTTAAATGAAGTGTAGGACATGCAAGGGGAAAAGGGATCTCAGATAGAGAAGGGAGCACCAAATAAAGAGTGTTGGGAGGACCCTCCAGGATGGGAGAAGCATGCTGAAAGTAGACTATAGACCGGACATGATTGCCACTCGATGCCTCTTTCGAAAACCACAACACCCAAAAGGAGAGAGAGAGCAAAAGGGAATGCCCTGCCACAGAAGCAGGGTGGGATGGGGGGGAGGATGGGGGGGGGGTGGTGGGAGGGATACCGGGACCTGTGGCGGTGGAAAATGGGCACTGGTGGAGGGATGGGTACTTAATCATTGTATAATTGAAACCCAGGCACAAAAATTTGTAAGTCTACAACTGTACCTCATGGTGTTTCACTAATAAAAATTAAAAAAAAAAAGAATATCAGGATCTGGGTGACAATGAAAAAAAGAAAAAAAATTATTGTGAACAAAAAATAAATGAAGTGTAGGAAATAAATACACAACAACAAAAATATTAACCAGAAATAAGGTTCGACAGCCCGAATTTCATCTATAAAAGTATGTAACATTTTTCCACCTTTAGATGCTCTGAAAAGGAGATGCAGTTCATAACTGATGTGTCTGAACAAGTATTGTCCACCAGGGGATGCTGGTGCCACAGAA